TTGAAGCCATAATTTTAAATTAACTGGAAGAATTTTTTCCATAGGAAATTGTTTGGTTTTGTTTAACTGAAAACAAGACAGATTGAGACTTTGAAGGTTCAACACTAGAGGGAACTAGAGGACTAATTGTACTAAAGAGTATAATTGAACAAACAATGGAGCAGTGGTTCTCAACCTTTTTAATGCCGCGTCCCCCAACTGATCGTAAGTCGAGGACTACTCAACCGGTCGTAAGTCCAGGACTACTCAACTGGTGCAGCACCGTTTGCAGACTGGGGCTTTTGGCGGGCTCAGCAGGGTAGAGCCAGCCTGGACAATTCCTATTGGCTTTGGAAAGCCAATAGAATTAGACTCTATTCAAGAGAGTCTATTCTATTGGCTTTCAAAAGCCAATAGAATAAAAGGGAGTAGCACAGCTAAGGAAAAGGGGAAAAAAATGGCGGACTGCATTGTTTGGCGACCCCCGTGAAATGGTCATTCGACCCCAAATGGGGTCCCAACCCACAGGTTGAGAACCACTGCAATGGAGCAAATCAATCTTGGGACTCATTTGAAGGGGTTATGGAGCAAGATTCTTAAAAGTACAGGGAAAGGGTATAGGGTTGGCTTATTTGATGAAGGTTAAGATTGATAATTAGTTATATCTGGCAATCCTTACTGACCTTGTGTTGATAAGGAATGAATGGTGAGGTATTTGGATTTTGTTTTTTGTGAAGAAACAAAATATGGGGTGAAGAGAATATATGTTGTAACTTAAGGGATGATGATAAATTACTTAAATTGTACTTAAGGGGGAAGTTCTTTCTTTTTTCTTTCTTTCTTTTTTCTTTTTTCTTTTTTTAACCATCTCTTTTCCTGAGGCATGCTTGACAATTGAGAAAACCAAAGCAGGTTAAGCCTCAAGACATACTTTCTAAAAAAGAAAAAGTGTCACCTAAGGGAAAAGAGATGGGGAAAAGGAGAAGGATAAAAGAAGTTACAATTTCATATCATAATAAACTAGGATGAAAGCATTTCAGGTAACACGACAGTATGGCTGCCAGTCAGATAACATTTGGGAAGAACGAAAGACAGCCATTCTCTCCAGTGGAACAGCTCTGCTTGTCTTCTCTCCCTCTGCTTCATGGGGAAAAAAAAATCTCTTATCATATTTTAGGCATTTTTGATTACCTACATTTTGCTATATTCTTTCTGTTCCTGAGGAATTTAAATCCACAGTTAAATCTGTCACCTGCATTCTTATGCCAAATATTAGCTTACCTTATCAATATTGATTGAGTTGTCTTCAGGATTAATGATTGTTCCAAAAGAATGCAAAATAAATGCATTGTGGGGTTCATTCTAGCAGTGTGCTACTTTCTCATTCTGGAGTTTATGAAGTAGGAACTAGTCAAATGGTGGAAATGAAAACCCAAGCAGGAATTCAGTCACAACCTCCAAGTACTCACATAGGAGCTCAGCCCCAAGCCAGATGGCTTGATACAAACAAGCTTTCAGTCACCTCAGACTGCTCCAAAGTCAGACAGTATGCTAGCATGCAAACAAGATTCAGAGGTTGTTTCAGTAAAAAAATCTCCTTCGTAGAGATTTTAGTTAGGCTGCAGTTCTGTCCAGATGGCTAGCAAACATTCTTTCCATGATTTTGGCTTAATTTCCATGCCAAATTTTGTTGGAATTGATATTGATGGCATTGGGGGGAGGGAGATCAAGGATATTTTCCTCCTCCACCTCCACCTCCTCCTCCTTCTTCTACTTACAGTGCATACTAATTTATTATGGGAGCTTATCAGGTGTAATCAGTGATATCATAACAAGCTATCAAAACCCATGTGGCACAGACACCACTGCATTAGAAAACTTACTGGATATAACCCACTGCCTAATGCCATGAGGAAAGACATTATCAGGTCATGAACCTTTACTGGATATGATCACATTTTGATGTTTCACTTTGATGACATCACTTTGATGAAAACTACTGATCAGTTCTCATTTTAATTTAACACTATATACTATAATTACAGCCATGGTTGCTACATCGGGTGTTCATTTAGGGTAAATTCTGATTTTTCCTCACAGTTTATTGCACAAGGATCGCAACTACAGGCTTATGACAAATAGCAGCATCATTACTTTTCAGTAGTTAAAGCTAACAGTCAGCTTCTGCATTAAACATATAAAACCAGTTTATTTGGAGCTTGTTCTCTGAGAGAACATTTTGATGGGCCAAAAGAGGCAGAGATTGTAGGCTCCCTGTTCAAATCACTTATCTGGGTTCATTCTTCTGTTGTGTGGAAACAGCATTAAGACTTGAATGAAACGAGTGTCTACTATATAGCAGATTAGAATGATTGTGAATTATGTCAGGCTGCAGGGCAGTTTGGTAAAGGTGTGGTGATTTTATATCAGCCAGGGCTAACAACCTTCTTCCTTTCATTCTACCCACTGCATTTTGTTTATGGGCCTTCACTTTGTTAGATAATTCTGCCCCCTCCTCAGAATTTATGTCTTAATACTGCAACCTTCTGGTCTAATAATCTCTCCAATAAGTTCTATAGCAATATTTATCTCTTTCGGTCTTCTATTATAAATCAGTTGCTCCTGCATGTGGTAATTTTTAATTTTTTTCAGGGCATGTTGCTTAACCAGTTAGCTGCTACTAGGCTTTTACTGTGGGCCTTTAAAATGGCAGTTTCCCAAATCATGCTGTAATGTATTGGCCACAATTATTTTAAATCACTTGCTTAATGTCTGACCTACATTGCTGTATTGTTTAACAGTTGCTGTTACTGAAAGCCAGACTGGCTGTCTCCAAGCTGATAATGAGGTTTGGGGTGGGAAACTGTTACTTTAAACCTAGAGGCTAACTGTATAAATTGCCACCTAGAGGCTAACTGTATAAATAGCTGTGCAGCAGCTTTTAGGGCTGCTTCTGTTCTGAGTTAATAAACTTGTTGCTGTTTCAACACTGCCTCATTCAATGCCTAAAGAATCGAAGATATAACAGTGGTGACGAAGGTGGGATGTGCTGCTCCATTGAGAGAGCTTGAAGTCACTAGGGATGAGGTCACCACAGGGCCTGACAGGAACTACGTTCCCCCCCTCAGTCTGCCAACAAGCCATGCTGGAGACCACCACGCCCTAAGGATCCATCCTAGGGCCTACACAGAAGCCAGCAGTGCAAGGCATTGAACAAAGAAACAAACCACCATGGTGAAGATTGGGAAGCTCAAAGAATTCGATGTAACTCACCCTAAGAGATGGGCATCCTACATCTCCCGCATCGAAAATTACCTCCATGCCAACTAGGTCGCCGAAAATGGATTGAAGGCCACGACACTCCTCTGTGTGTGCGGCCCCGCCACCTTCGACACTGCAGAGAACCTGGTCACCCCAGTGCCACTTGAGTCTGTCACCTACGTGGACTTGAAAAAAAAGCTCTGAGACACTTCGAGCCCAAGTTATCCATTATAGCATGGAAGCATGCTTTTGAGCAGCGGGAGCAACAACCCGGTGAGTCTGCAACAGAATTCATTGCTGCTCTTTGTCAAGTGTCCTGACTCTGCAATTTCGCGGATTTGGAGGAGAGACTACGAGACTGCTTAATCTGTGGACTCCGGAATCGAGAGCTCCAACAAAAACTGTTCGCTAAGGAGACTCTCTCGCTACAAGAGGCCTTGAAGGAGGTCATGGTGGATGAAGCCGCTGGAGGGGTCATTAAAGCGCTGCGGCCCTCCAAGCACCGAACCTGTCCACCATGAGGGCGCCGAGCGGATGGAAGACAGATAAAAGATTATATTCTTCAGGAGCCAAATTTACCCAACTCATTAATGCAATTCATTAATGCAATTTCACTTCAAAGCACATATCTTACTAAACTAGGGTCTCAAAAACAGCCTTGGTCTTTAAAAGAAGGCAGATTCAAGAGGCCACCAGATGATACTGTTGTACTGATGGGGTCTGTAGCATTTCCACTTTGTTGGCTTTTATAGATGGGCAGAGACAATAGGAGACAGATGTTCTCTTAAATAGTCAAGTCTGATGTCATGAAGGGCTTTGTAGATACCACCAGTATATTGAATTGCATCCAAGCTTACAGTAAACAATGTAGCTTGTTCAGCAAAGGTGCTATATAACTGCTCATGTTTCTATTTTCTAGGCCCAGATGCAGTTTCTTAGTGGTCTTCAATGACATCCCCCATAGAGTTCATTGCAATAGTCCATGCATGGCGCAACCAAGACATTAATGACTATGAGAAAGGATTCTCAGTCCCTAAAGGAGTATAATTGTATCAGGTGAACCTGGCAAAAGGTCCTTATCACCATAGCTGCCATCTGTTCTTTGAACAGATGGAACTTTTTGTCTAAGAAGTCCTACTAATTATATACCAGCTCTGTCCTGGGAAATATAGCTCTATTTAGAACTACAGGTAGGGCTGTGACAGACCTTTCTGGGGGAGGTACTTAAGACCTGATTCAAAATCCCAACAGTCGCCCTTCCCCTCACATGACTGCACTTCAAGCACTTGGCAGCTGGGCTGCATTTACAGCCTTTTGCAGCATCCTATGATCATGTAACCATATTTTACAATGGATTTTGGCAAAACTGCACCCATGGTGAACTATTGATTTATTTAATGATTGTAGCTTTTGCTTTACGACTATTGCATTTTTCTAAAAACAGCAACACTGATGGAATATCAACCATGGAATCATATTTGTCCCTTCTCAGCTTCATCTTGCAACTACATTCCTGCATAAGATCTCAAATTCTGAAGGTTGGTGGGATCCTTCAAAGTAGTTGATGAGGATGTGAGAGGCTACAAAAATGATAGAAGAGTTGACATCTTATTTTGTGAGTAGAAATAACTCCTGCCCATCAGACAATACCATTGGATTCTGCCCCAAGGCTTTATCCTTTATGTGACATCACTGTCATTGTTCTGTTTGTGGAATTTTGACACAGCTCAATAGAAGCTTCCATTCCATGGACTGGAACAATAGGCTCTGTGCCTCTGTCTTATATTTTATTTCAACCCACTCTACTCAGACAGCAAACTTCTCTTTTACAAACTTAATTTTGTATAGAAGGACATTTGTGCCCACAACATTGAATATAAGCATTTGGATTATTAAATGATACATTGACCATTTTTACCAGTAAAGGTAAATGCTATAGTTGTATTACACCAAACAATATTAATAAGATAAATTGCTGTCTTTTTTTATAAATAACTGGAAACTGAAACCATCACTCTTTTGATGCTATACTTTTTTTAAAAAAAGTGATAAGGCAATTGAGTTAAGGTTATAAAGCATGATTTTCTTTGCTTGCTGCAATCAGTGTTTTATTCACAATTTTACAATAGATGTAATTTTTTTATCATTTGCTAGACAGAGGTAAGAAATTGAACATCAAGAAAATTACTTAAGAATTGGCTGCAGTCTGTAATGTAATAATAACTGGTTGAAGGATCAACTATTTGAGAGAAGAGTAAGTATCATATAAAATAAAAAAGGGTCATGGTTAAAAAAAGGAAGAAAAAAAATAAGTCTGCAACTAGGAATCTACTGTACCATATCAACAAATTGACTGTAAGTTGAGGGATAAAAATGAAGGCATATGACAAAAGCTTCAGAAAAAATAAAGTGTTGTATCCTGGCCTTCCATTTTGGCCTTTGAGAAACAAAAATAATGTGAACAAAATTATGACTATATATGAATAATAGAAAACCAGAGGTTTAATTGAGTCTAAATTCTGCTACATAAAAGATTTAGGCCTAGAGTTTTACCAATTAAATGAATTATATCAACAGGAAAATTAAATTCTAAATATACTGCATAAGCCCAAGAAATCTGGCACACACAGAGTCACACCCAGAGGCACTTACTAAAGTGTATCGCTTTTGAAGCCACTGAAAGTCATTGTGCTTTCACAAAAAACATGGCTAAGATTTGGCTTTTGTCCCATCAGTGTTGATTTCTGTAGTTTTTGGTTTCATTTTAGCAGGGAGATGAGGTGATATAGGGCACCATTAAGATGTTTCAATGACTGTACAGTGATCTTAAATACACACAAGCTTAATCATATGAAATATCCAGTGCAAATGTATATGAGGCTTATGGGGGAAGAACAAAGAGGTATAAGAACTAGCAAGACTAGACTAGTACATTTGGACAATTGGGATTATTAGAGAGTACTTCAGTTTGGTTTAGTCACTAGGAAAATACGCAACATGGTGCAATTGGGAAATCTCATCTTGGATCTGTTTTTGTTTAGTGCGCTATTTTTTTTTTTTAGGCAGGCACACAAGGGAGACAGAACGGCATCATGAATTAAAATAGATTCCCCTCCCCCATTAGATTCCATAATAATGACATGCTACATCATGGCACAAAGATAGGGAAGAAACACATGCTGGAGAGACAATGGAAGTGCGTGCTTAGGTATCACCTCCAAATTCAGTTCAGCTATCACATCTTTTGTCCAAAAACAAAATCTGTCCCCCCCTCCCTTGTCTCAAAACTGCACAATATGTTTGCCCTCTCATTGTATTTTTCAGGTAAAGAAACCACTCTCACATCTGGCTGCCATTATTTCTCATCTTCCCTGCTAGCCCCTATAGTGGATGGATGGACATTATGATGGATTATTACAAAGTTTTGGACATTCCCCAAAGTGCCTCCATGAATGATATTAAACGAGCGTAAGACAAGTCCTTCAAATTATCTTTTTCCTCATACAATCCCAGCCACCCAAACATGACATTTCTTGCTTCCCTGTGAATTTGGCTCACAGGACCCAATAATAGTAACTGGCTCCTTTTTGAAGATTTGTTCTCGTTATTTGTGATTTATGTCTATGGCAATGATGGAAAAAACATCACTGTGATAGGATTCTTCCATGGATAATTTAGTCAGAAATCTGATTATAGTCTCATCCCTATTATTATGAGAATTTACTCTCTCTCATGTGAATAATGAGAAACTGTCCGGAATAATGATATAAAAAAAGATTACTTGCTTCCAATATATGTGGATGGTTGTATAGAGGGTTGGATCAGTAAAAACCAGTATATTGCATTGTCTGCCTTAAAAAGACAATATTCATTCTGGCAATTTTTGGTATGGATTTTTTAAAAAGGAGAAAAATCATTAGTTAGATTTACTGTCATCTAGTATTCATAGCTATAGTATGGCCTTGTCTCTGATTTATGTAATTCTTAACGTAAATAGCTTGAAAACCTTTTTTTTAAAAAATGCCATTTACCCATTTCCCAATCTTTTATGTGTATATTTATTCAATGCAAGCTTTTTAATACAAATTTTCCTAATCTGCATTCTTTTTCTATTCCTGTGCTATTTGTGCTATGACAAAATTCAATGGAAATATTCAAATTTGTTCCCAACATAATTCATGGTGGAATTCTTGTATATCCTAGCTGGTTGCTAATATTGCTGCAGCTCTATTATGGATTTAGTTGTTTAACACTTGTTACACTTATGTGAAACTATGCAGGTACCGGAGTAAAGTGCTCAGATGGCATCCAGATAAAAATCCAGAGAACAGAAAAGAAGCTGAGCAGAAATTCAAGGAGATTGTTGAAGCTTACAAAGTTCTTTCAGATAGTAAGAACCCTAGTTCCTCTCTTGTGCCCCTTCTCAATTTTGGTCTTTGATGAGATTCAATAGCTCATTCTCATTTATTTTTGATCACGTAATCCAAACTACAAAACATCTAGGGCATAGACAATGACTGACACTGGGATGACTTTAGATGAAAGGCAGAAATTAAAATAAATAATGTAAATCCCCCCAACATTCCATTCATTACATCAATGAAGACTCAATCATCCAGGACAAAGGTGTCTAAAGGTTGAATCATGACAACTGGACCATGATTGCAAGCCATTTTGGGAAGAAACCCCTGAAGTTGGTATGGCAACAGTTGGTACATTCCAACAACTCTGACTAATTTTGCTGATTGATGAAGTTGCTTGGGTGAGCAACGAAACGTCTCAAGATTAACAATGTTTGCTCCAGTTTCTCATGATTCAACCTTTAGACCATAAATTATGGTCCTCCCAATTATGTGTAGTAAAATGATGCAATTTTGACTTCTTCCAAATGCATGTTAATACCTGGCTTTCTGTTTGTGTAATCAAGATGCTTCAAACACAAAGGATCTGTTATAACACAGGGGTCCCCAACCTCTAGGCTGTGACCCATCTCCGGGGCTTAAATCATTCGGAACTGAGCCATGGAAGTGGTGGACGAGCACGCATGTACATGCATCCCCACTTGCATGAACAGTAGAGGGATGCATGCATGTGGACTCACTCTATTGTGCAAGTTTGCACAAATGGAGCTGTGCACACATATGTGTGCTTGCCCGCCAGTTGCACAAATGGAGCTTTGTGCACACTGATGAGATTGCCCACACTTGTGTGGAACTATCCCCTCTCCTCCATGCCGGTCTGCAAAGAAGAAAAGGTTGGGGAAATCTGCTTTAACAGATTAAATAAGTGGGCTTCCATCAGTGGAGTATAATTCTCTGTTTCTTTCCTCCCCTTTGCAATTCTCTGTGTGATTTCCAAATCAGCTCTGAAGGCTTGGTTGGAGGTGGAATGAGGTGGGCAGTTCTCTCAGAACATTTTTAGTGGACAGAGAAGAAAAAAATAATTCTGCCAATATTGGAAGTGTGCAACTGAAATTTACTCCCACGGGTCTCTCTTTCTATTTGAAAATATGTATCTGCTATCACAGGTTTTAAAATCTTCTTATATTCTTTCTACTCTTTATGGTATCTCATTATACAATATAGTACAGTGGAATGCTATTTAGAGATGGAAATCAGAAGCAATAACCTTGGGATTATTCAAAACTAATGATACAGTGTCAGTTTTAAATTCCTATAGGTTGATGTCTCTTTTATTCCAGAAAGTACTTGTAACCACTATGATGGGGATAGCGAAGATACTTCCAAAGCAACAAGTGAGTACTTTAGAAAAGACATAAAGGTCTTTTAAAATCAAATCAATTATTTCATTAAGGGCTTCATACTTCTGATAATGAATATACACCAATGATCTTCTTATACCCTAAAATCTTCAATAAGGATAAATGAGATTGGATGATTTAGAAGACTTTGGAGGGAACCAAAATCTGTTCCCCCCCCTTCAAATGTGAACTACTATCACTTACAAACAGCAATATGAAAAAAAAATGTGCACCCTACCTAGGAATTCTGGAGGCTACCATCTGATAGATGAGATATCAGCTTAGATCAAGGCCTATTTTAGAGGTGGGGTCATCTAAATTATGGTTTGATATTTGAAATTGACAGATAAATTGATACTTTTCATTCAAAGCAACAAAACAAATAGTTAAGATACAATTCCAATAGTTTGTTTCCTCAATATTTGGACACAGTAGTTTGTTTCCTCAATATTTAGACTCAGAGGTTACAAATATCTAGTAGAAAATGGTATAGTTGACTTTTGTTTAGTTTAATTTTTAATCCAAGCAAGAATAGGCTGGAGGATTTCCCCCCCACACTGCTTTGCAAACATGATTATCAAAGATGAGCTATTCTGTGCAAATGGAAGGAATCAATCTCTGAGCAGAGATTTCTACTGATTGCTTCTCTTAATATCTCCATAGATCATTGAAAAAGAAAATGCAACAATTTGGATGATATTATTTCTTGTTAAAATCATTTTCTTTACCCAGTCGTCACGCATACATCCATAATGTCTCATTTTGTTTTATTTTCTCTCCTTAGAAAAAACTGAGGATGAGAAACACTTTTCAGTGTTTGATCAGGATGGCATCAAAATATTCTTCACAAGACAGCATTCCTCTTCAGGTAATATTATATGTAAACCCAATTTAAACCCCCTTTTCACGATTAATTTGGCATACTCATCATTACACTTCTTTCTGCAGTAAATTATCCAGACCTTCTTTTTAATAGCCACATTTGAAGGATTCTGATTGAACTGGAAATTTAATTTAACAGGAAACAAAGCAGACATAAATGATGAAGAGTGCTTTTATTCAAAAAGAAAAATCAAGCATTTCCATCATGTGTAGAAGAAGTTTATGATTGGTTCACTGATTTGATGAATTGGGTCTTTGGGCATTTAATTCTTTATTAGCAAATTTATATCATCATTCCATCTTAACTAAATAGCACTGGATGACTTATAAAACACTTAACTAAAAACTCTATGTCAGAGATGACATAATTGAGGCTCTTCCCATAACTGTCTAACTGCACAACAATAAAGTATATATATATATATATATATATATATATATATATATATATATATATATATATATATATATATATACAGGCTCCACTAATCTCCTGTCCCCAGGAGGTCTTCAAGGCTTGTATGATGAGATACTATGGCAACAGAAATAAAAATGGAGGGAATCAGATTATTTTACTGGGCCACCAGAAAGAAAGCAGAATGGAAAATAATTCTAGTCTTCATTTATTTAACGGTGGGAGATAATAGACAAAACTAATAGAGAAGTCTGCAGGATGGAGAATTTATGAAGATGTTTGGAACTTGGTGGTAATAGCATTTGTTTAAAGAGAAAAGCAAATGCATTTAGAAATGATTCATCATATATATATGCCCTCCTGTTTCAGATTTTTCTGTATCATTCTTCAGTGCTCCTAAAAGATTCCACCACTTTTCTATCATGACTGCCGTCCTCAATGGCAAAAAGATCACAACCAAAAGGTAATATTCAAAGTGGATGCCTTTCTATGACTCCTTCACTTGATACATAGTTCTCTCTGTGAAGAAATGTTAACGTTGTCAACTCTGCAACAAACCTGACTGAGGCCATCTTGTTTGTTTTCAGTTGCCACAGGATTGCAGGGAGGAAATGGGGAGTTTTATGCTAGCCTAAACAAATTCCTGTCCCATGGGAACTAAGGTCATTTCTCTTCATTACATTGTGGGTTGTGCCTAATGTTATAAAGCCCACGAACCTATTCTATTCGGAGACGTAATTAATTGCATAGTTTTTGGGTGGGAAGTTTAACTTGTAATATTGTTATTCTTTGGGGGGGGATTTTAGTCTTGGTTTCAGTTTTGTCTGTGCCGATACTTTGTAGCCAATAAACATGTTCTTAGAGGAAAACAAAAGCTTTGTCAAGAGAAGAATATGTGTGTGAAAGTGTTGCCTGTTATTGTACAGTTATCTTTTCAGTTATTAATAGCACAATCGGTTTCCTGTGCTTCAGGAGAAGCCCAAGGGAAAACTTCATGGAGTCCCCCAAACTGGACATTTTTTCAGTTGTGATGCCACAGCCTCTTCGAGACATTGGTAGAAATGTCCACCAAAATGTTGGTTAAGAATTTGTGCCTAAAACTAACTTTTCTCTGATATATGACTTGATAGTAATCAAATAATGGATTTTGTCTTTTACACATTGCAAAATGTGAAAGGTGGTGATATATCAATAAGTACTTTTATTTTCTTTTGTCATTTTAATAATGATATTAATTCACTGTACATCTAGCTTTCTCCCTCTTCCTAGTAGAGTGGGGGCAAAAAAGTTAGATTTGTTAAAGTCTAAAGACTTTAACACATTGAGAGAATGTTATTGAATATATCTGGGACAACAAAACATGAGTTAGTAACATTTCTCAGTCACATTTATGCACAAACAGTTTAACATCTTTTTTTTAAAAAAAAATTCAGAATCACATTTTTAGGAATGTCACCTACATGTAGAGAAGTTTTAAGATTAAAATTCTAAGGGAGATTTTTGAAGGATCAGTATCTTCTTCTTAAATAAACCTGAATTTAAAAGAATTTTTTGAAGTGCGGATATCCAAATTTTTCTTGAGGAGAATTCTTGTATATAGTTAAATTTTATGAAAAATGAGAGGCAGCAGTATCTTTATATTGCTATAAAGATATATCAGGAGCTCACATTCTGAAGGCTAAATTGATTCTTAACTAAGTCTTCTTTGAATTGAGTTCAACTTTTGTTGACATTGTGGATGCCTCCTATAACCCTTATATTCTCTGCTGGCTTCCCATCAAAGTATACTAACTAGGAGTGACCTTGCCTATCTTCTCAAAATCACCCAAGATCAGTGATTCTCAGTAAACAGTAAATAATTCAGACTGTCAAACTGCATAACAAACAAGACTTGTTAAGTTCTTTTGAAGTCTAAGCAAGAAATCACAAGTGCCTTTCCTAGAATAATATAAGAATAATAGTGAAATAACTGACCAATATCTCTCCTTTTAGGCATCTTGAGAATGAAAGCAAGTACTTGGAAGTTGAAGAAGACGGGAAGACGGTATCTATCCATGTTAATGGTAAATTTGAATGGGTCAGATGACACTTACTTTTTTCCAGTGTAAAATATTGTTTTTAGTGTTCATGAGACTTCTTGAAGGCATCTGATTTTTCAAGAAAGCATTTTGTGTGCCTTAATAAAAGTTGTGACCCTCCCCCCAATACATTTCTGAGTCAGGGAGGACAGAAAGGTAGGTAGGCAGGCAGATAACATACAAGTGTCAGCAATCTCTTCCTATAGAATTCAAGATGAGTTGGAGAGATTTAGCTTTCTTTTCTCTGAATTGTAGGCCTAAAGAGATCGAAACAGCCAATAACTAAAATAGGTGAACAGAATTCTTCCCAAAGAGAGTCAAATCCAGGGGAAAAACCACTAGAATTGAAAAAAGAACTGATTTGCGCCGGTTTATATAATCTGAATGTGTTCTGTGGCAGCATTATGCCATATTTCCAATTTGTCTGCAACAGCAGAAATCAAGAAAGAAGGTTAATCAAAAGCACTGTTTATAATGAAATAAACTGCTTTCTGCAATACAAGCAAAAGTAAATATTACTATACCGTTTTCAGTTAAAGGCATTAATCCTTATTATCTGTCCTACAGCTCTTTTAATGGTCTGTCTGTTAGGTTTTGGTTCGGAGCATTGTACAAATCCAGTTATTGTGCCTTGCATACCATAGATTACGGCTTAGTAAATTTGTGGAAATCTAGCAAATTGTAATTTATTAAATAAATGATGGTTAAATATGGTATACCCTGTAGTTTTAGCCAAACTAACCATTAAGAGTTTTCTTTTTCTCTTACTGAATTTTAGCTACATACATCTATATTTCATTTATATGGAATAGATTCTAGAAGTTATAAAGACTATAATATGAATGATTGAACATTGTTTTTGGGGGAAATTACAGTATCTTTGTCTGAGTAGCATTACTGCCACTCTTGTATGTATGGTTTAATTCAGCAATTGATATTGGTAGCTTACTGGGTATTTGACAACCATTGACCAACAATTGGCTGAACAGCTGCTAGTTGTTTATATTCTTATGAAATGTGCTAAATTCTGATCTTAGCATACTAGGGGTTTTTGCTGCATATTAATATGCCAGTTGTTAAAAACACAGTCTGTTATGCCTACATAGCTTATGCTGATGGACAGTAAATTACTAATTTCAACTAAGTAGAAATTACTCTTTTAAGATATGTAATTGTAACCTAAGGAGTCCTGATTATAAATATACATACTTGCTCTAGAGGGTTTTCTGTGTACATTTACAGTTGGTCATGTGTGAAAGAGAAAAGAAGATAATAGAACCAGATCAAGATATTTGGCTTGGTTGTCCAAAATACAGGACAATGATTTACTTACTCACCATCTACAGAGGCTAATTTGATTGAGAATAACTTCTCAGTACTGGAGTATGATAGTATCTTCCACAGCATCTGATCATTCTCTCCTTCTGGGAAAAAAGGGCCAACCATGTTGCATATACTACTGGCTCTTTGAATGCGAATTTGTTCTGCAAGGAGTGTTCCAAATGACCTTGGCTTGTCACCAACAGTTAGTCAAGGCTACCTTACAAGTCTGTAAGGAGAATAAAAGATCAGGCATGCCACTTTGAATGCCTCAAAACAGGACAAACAAATTATAAAACAAAACACAAACACAGTGGATCATTTTATGATTTTCAAATTACTTTTGCCTGATGTTTCCAACAGAAAGCCTAGATCAAGTAAGCTAGACATTAATTTTTTCTCTCTCAATCAGTAACTAGAAAGTTTAAAAATACTCCTATCCACAAATACTGAGCTATGAAGTAAGGATGAGTCTTGATCATATACCTATTGCTATGGTTGAGTAATGAATTCTGCTTCTTGCAGGGATTCCAGTTTATGACAGAGAATTTAATGGATCAGTAGGAAGCTTGGCTTCGGATTGCAAGCTGGACAAAGGACGCTATCGTCCACACAGGCGGCGTTTCTGGACATATGAAAGACGGCAGTGGGCTGATGAATGGCGGCAGTGGGCAAATAAATGGCGGGACTGGGCTGAAGAGTGCCGTGATTGGGCTGAAGGAAGGAACAAGACAAAAAATCAGGATAATTCTGGACATCATCAGGCAAATGCACCAGAACATCCAAAAGCTAGTCAAGAACATCTCAAGTCAGAAAAGAATTGTCCTAAGCCAGGAGGAAACCTTCAGGGATTTCCCATGCCAGGGGAGGGGAAATGTGATTCAAAAGAAGGCCACAGTAAAACAAATAAAGGACCACCTCAGTCAGAAGAGGAACACTTCAAGCCAGATACAGGATGCTTTGTTTTTCCAAAACCAGGTGAGAAAAGTCCTCAGATGGATGAAGGACATCCTAAGTCAAGCAAGAGGCAACCCAAACCAGAGGAAGGGGACATTTTGCAAAATGTTGGTATTGCTAAGTCAGGGGATGGACCTGCCAATCAGGATGAGGGACATCATAGAACAAAATATGGGAAGCCAAGGTCAGAAGATGGTCAGGCCATGCCAGGGAAAGTGCATTTTGGATTACAGAAGTCAGACCAGGAATTTCCTAATCCTAAAAATTCAGATCTCAGGGGCAATTCCACTCCTAGGAAACACATTTCTGAATGCAACTCTAAAGCTAAGACAGGTGAACTCCACAGCGAGAAACCGGAACTACAGTCTGAAGGAAACAAGAGCCATGCTGAGAACTTTGAAAAGAAAAATCCAAAGGAGGAAAAATTGGAAGTGCAAGGCCAGAAAGATGGGATTCCATTAAAGTCTGAATCAGAGAAGAGAATCAAGCTAAATGTTCAAGAGATAAAATATTCTCTTGATCCCAAACAGGGATCACAAGTGTCTGCCTATAATGCCATAAGGTTGTCCCTGAAAAGGAAAGAGCTCCAAATTCAGACAAGAAAACTATATGCCAGAAGAAATAAGTCTCAGGCTAGGACCAAAATATCCTACAGCTTTAGGAGGAACAAACCTCAGGCAGGAAAACACAGGATCCCCGATGGGCATAACAGAAGAGAGTTGGAAGGGAGATTCTACTTTAATGAACGCATAGAGATGATTCCTGTTGGGAAGAAGTCATCTGCGGGTAATAAGCATCTTCTCACAAGTAGAAAGAAAGGCCCTCTACCACCCCTCCCAAAAGGTGAAACTCCTTCCCAGGTGAAAAAGAGACTGCCCAGAAGAACGGCATATCCCTCATCTGAAATTCAAGGTGAAAAGCTTCATTCTACCTCTGAAGCCAGACAGCTTTTGAACACACAGCAAAGGAAGCTGATGAAATTGCCTTGGGTCAGTGGACATCTTCCAAGTATTCAGGGTCGGAAGTTTGGAACAAATCAGTTCCCAATTATGAATCGTTGACCATTTGATGGATTCAATCAAGCTAGCACTGAGCAAGGTCGATTTCTGTGGTTCACAAGTTGTGAACATCCAGATTTCTGCATTCCAACTGGGTGATGAAGAATACTACATTGCTGGGCTTCAATAGAAGGGAGAGTCCTAAGAGTTCACATGATCAGTGAAGGAAGTATTTTTTCCCAATAAAGGAGATTTAAATGTAATTCTTACTGCTCTCTAATATATGTAGGTTATAGCATGAGAAAGAAGAACTACTCTGGAGATATTTATTCAGACCAGATTTGCACTAGATTTCTGCATTCAGTCTCTCTGTATCAACATTCCAAAATCAAAATATATATTTGACTTATTATGCTTTTGTTTACATTTCCTGATGTATCTCAAAGCAAAATACATGTTTGTAAGTTTTAGAGGAGAAAGGCAGGAATTTACATGCTATGCTTATCTGAAGCTTCAGTGCAACTGTAATACAAATTTAATCCTTGAATCAAATCATTGGATAAGTCAAATTGAGTCAGGGGTGTTTAAATAAAAAAACAACGAATGGACTTCTGCATGCCTCCACATGCTTTTATAAAAATGTAAATTTGAGTCAGCTTGGTTCCTTGATCAAGTTACATATTTGAAGTGGTTGATTTGGATATCAACAGTAAGGTGATCATCAAATTGATTATGTTTTTCTAACAAAGGGTTAAAATGCATAGTAAATCCTCATGGTATCCCACTAGATCTATTGAGATTTGAATACGTTCATTGCTACATAGCCTTCCAATAGAAGCCACAATGATGTCATGTGCATTATATCATTTAAATAACTCAGGTTCTGTTATTTGCATCAGTCCCATCATGATGGCATGGCATAGATGATGTCATAGCATAGAAGAGATATAGTATGTCATTTGCACAATGATGTGATGGGGTGCCTGACATCAATTGCTTCCCTTAAGACACCCATGAAAGCCTAATTATGAAATATAGTGTATGTCCCCATAGCATAACCAATGTATTTTATCTGCAACTCAGCTAGGTATTATTAAAGTTTAGAATATCTATATATCCTATACTTTAAAAGTTTGGGGAAAAAATTTGCCTTGAGGATACCTTGTCAAATCATACCTTGGCTAAAATTTAGCAGCGCTTCGTAATATATCATTGTTTTTCAGGCTGAATTAAGTTCCTAAGCAGTCAATTGCAATGCGCGGAATAACCAATACAATAAGATTAGTGGAATATCTCATTTCAGATAAGTTTGACTCATTGGGCATATCATCCAGTTTTCTTGGCAATAACATGGAAAGTTCTTTTCTCCTTTTATCTCTAATCATTTAAAAACCTGCTATTTCCCGAGGATTTTCTGTTCAAATATTAATCAGGTCAAGCCTTGCTAAAAAAAAAAAATCAGGTAAAATGATGTTGACATTGGCACTTGGCCAAGCTACCAATGTCAGTATTAAGATAAATGTGTTGGTAGTATGTAAGAACAACGTCTTTTCAATGATCATCCACAAAGAAGGCTTTTTGAGATGTCAGCCAGTTAACAGCTTTTGTTTGCTAAGTAATTCTTTGCTATGCAAATGTCTCATGAATTTGTAGCATGTCTCTCATTTCTGCCTTTGTGCTCTATAACACCATCACATGATTAAATAAAAATGTTATAAATGAGATGCAACAAGCCAGATTAAAAATGCTTGTCAGAAGTCTTGCTTGCTATATTACAGTATTATGCCTTGAACTTTGATGTGAAATTCACTGTTTCCTTTGGGGCAAGCATTGTTATGCAAAATGGTAAAAAAAAAAAGGAGAAGGAAGAGTGAGCAAAATAAAAGCCATAAGACAACAGAAAATAAAATGTAGATAAATCTGGTTTACACAAGCAACCATTTTGCTATACTTCTCCATATTTTGATTATATACTATCCATATTTCTACCGTATCTATACACTATTTCATACATTTTTATTCTTAAAACTTCTCAGTTTTTTCTTTTTAAGGATCTCATTAACTTCACTGAACCATAACTTTCTTCCTTCTCTTTCTCTCAACCCATTTACTTTTCATTTATATATTTGCTTTTTATTTTGACCCTCCTACTTTCTCTATACATGCCAAAAGCTCCTCAACATTTTTTCCCATACTGATCCCTCAATTTTTGTTCATTCCACTTCCAATGAGCACCCATTCATTCTTGATTCTATTTTTTTCTAGTTTTAATACCTATTGCATTCAACTATATGTTTCTCCTGACAAACAATTCTCACTTCCATATAACAAGGAAAGCAAAATGTATAAATGAAAATGTTGCTGCCAAAATATATAAACTTTTATGTACAAATGATGAACACTTTATTGCCAAAATATATAAACGTTTACTGAAATTTGAAATAAAAGAACAAATAAAAGAATGTATGATTAAATGGACTAAAACGTTGGTTAAATATACAAATAATGGAATAATGGAAGATATGTGGTTGAAAGGTTTGAGATTTACATTACCGTAAGTTATAACATTACAGAGACTTTTAATAAAATGATGTATCGGTGGTATATGTCATCTGAGAAACTCTAGAATGTGTAAAGGTACCTCAAATTTATATTGGAAATGTGAATAACATGAAGGGACATTTTATCGTGTTTGGTGGCTGTGTAAAAAAGCTAGAAAGAGATTCTAATCAAAGAGAATCTTAAAAATTAATATACAATTGAAACTGGAGGGTTGAGGGGAGAGATTGATGGACAATCAGCCGGGAAAAAAGTCATGGAACTTTGTTTTTATATAATTGAGATCATTATATGCATAAAAATGGAAAGATTTGACACTATCTACAATAGAGGAATGGTTGGTGAAGATGATGGTACTTGCAGAAATGGCTAAATTGATTTCCTTGATTAGTGAAAAGACAACCTTTATGTCAGGGGTGTCAAACTGCCAGCCTGTGGGCTGGATGCATCATGCCAAAACCGCACCCAGCCCATTGCTGGCAATGGAAAAAAATTGCGATATGTCGCGACACGTCACATGACGTTGCGAGTTTGACACCCCTGCTCTATGTTTATTGCTGACAGGAAACCCCTTACATGAACCAGAAAAAAATGAACTTATGCTTTATGGTTTTGATGATTAGAAAAAAATAATAGAAAAACAAGAGTGGTTTTTTTGTAACTAAAGGGCAAGATGTAATTTTGTATTTGTACAAAATTGAAAGATTTTTCTATTTCTTCCCCCCCCCCCCACTTTCGGCTTTTGCTTTTCCCTTTGCTTTATTTACTTTATATTACTTGTTCGTTTTTATCTTTAAAATAAAAATTACACACACACACACAAAATGGGCAAAAGCACACTCATGTGCATAGCCATTTTCATTTCTTTTTTCAGATTTCTCACAATAGATCACATACTACCCATTATGTCTTTGCCAGTATTTGCACATCATAAAACTGCTCCACCCATTTTCCAATCTTTAGTAAATATTTTACCAAATTAATTCATCTACTTGTTTGGCTTTTTTGCAATTTATGTATAATCTGTATTTATTCACTCCATTTTTTCTGTCAAACACCACTACCTTTGATACATTCAATTTCAGAACCATATTTTGTATTCAATCAAATGTTTCCTGCAAATCATTCTGGTTCTGAGCCAACAATAGTACCAAGACATATAAAAATACTGACATGCATCCCAACAAGCACACCTTAAATGTTGGAACAATCAATGTGATGGTATATTTTGAGTTCAATGTTGAATTCATTAACTAGTAAGCATTCCATTTATTCTCACATGCACATTATAGCAATAACAATAGTACTTAGACTTGTATATTGCCTCATGGTGCTTTATAGGACTCTCTGAGCAGTTTACAAAGTCATCATATTGCCACCAACAATCTGGGTCCTCAGTTTATCGACCTTGGAAGGATGAAAGGCTGAGTCCAACCTTGAGTCAATTGGGATCAAACTCCTGGTCTGTGGGCAGAGTTAGCCTGCAATACTGCAGTCTAACCACTGTATGCCACCACAGCTCAATATTATTTCATCATATACTGTTCTTAATACATTTCACTCCAAACTTTCAACTCCCTGTTTCTTCAAGCTTAGTAAGGATTTTCTCTGAATCAAAAAAAAAGAGTATAACATCACTTTTTCACAATTTGTACATTTCTCAAAGACCTGTTGAAGAGCAAAAAATGTGATTTGCACAACCCATATCTGATATGAAACCAGAGTACGCTTCCCAAATTTTCCTCACTGTCATCTCTCATATTCTTTCAATCAGGATTCTAACAAGCGTTATCCCAGACACACATAACAAATTCCCCTTTTCTTTTTGCGTTGCCTCTTAATATCTTTGCCCTTATATAGGGCAATAACAGTAGCATTCTTTCAATTGGGAACTACTGATGCAGTCTTCACACAGGTTAAAAAAATATCCCATCAAGTCCATATTTTAACATTTCTCTATTTACATGAACAACATCTGCAAGTTTACTATTCTTCAGTAATTGACAGCATTGATATCATAAAATTTTTCTTTGGATGATAACCAAAGAGAGAAGCAACCTAGAACTAAGGAGAAATTTTCTGACAGTTAGAATAATTATTTAATGGAACAACTGCCTCCAGAAGTTGTGTATGCTCCAACACAGGAAGCTTTTAAGAAGAGACTGGACAGCTATTTGTCTGAATGATATAGGGTTTCCTGCCTGAACAGGGGGTTGGACTAGATGACCTCCAAGGTCCTTTCCAACTTTATTATTATCGATCATCGCACAGTCAGCCAGATGTTCAGACTGGATTTGGCATTTTGTCTACCTATCGAGTCCTTACCCAGGACCTGGGATAGGCAGATGTGGATGTTTGATGGTATTACAGATATCGTCGCAGGATGGAAGCAGTTCCTAGTAAGGCCGCCTTTTGCAATTGACTAATAGCGAATTTGTCAATGCCAATGGTGTTCAAGTGGTGCTCCAGTTGTTTTGGGATTGCACCCAAGGAGCCTATGACTATTGGTACTACCCTTGCTTGCTTTTGCCACAGTCTTTCTATTTCTATTTATAGGTCTTTGTATTTTGTTATCTTCTCCAGTTCTTTCTCTTCTATTCTGCTGTCTCCAGGCACTGCCACGTCCACTATCCAGACTTTTTGTCTTTCTTATCGACAATTGTTAAGTCTGGGGT